TCTGACAGAGAAAGAAGAAGAAGATAAGTATGGAAGGATGAAGACTAAAAAAATACTCCCTCCGTCCTATAATGATCTTCCCAGAGCACTATTTTAACTTCACCAGAATTTATATTTATTTGTGTTTTTTCATGGCCTATATGATAAAATAAAATATTCTTGTCACCACTTATTTTGTTGAACTTTTGGTGTAGTTTTTAAATATGTATGTTTTATTTTTTATTTCTATACCAATATTTAAATAAAATAGATTGAAAAAATTTGAGATTTTTCTTCGTTTTGCGAACCGGGAAGATCATTATAGAACGGAGGGAGTAGAATAGTAGGCATCCACGTAGGATTGGGTGCGCTGATTAGGCACGTAGGATTGGTCACCTGATGATTACCTATAAACCGGCTAAAATACCGTCAGTGAAAGAAACTGGTAAGTTGGTGTACTTTTCTGATAGAAAATAAAGTTTGTATACTGAAGTGAAATAAAAATCAAAGTTAGTGTACCATACGTGAAATTTACCCCCCAAAACTGAAATGATCATTCCTCTCTCAATTATTAGTCTTCCTGGTGGAATCAAAAATCAAAATCAATAAGCCTTATGGATGAGTTTTATCAGTTAGTCTCAAGAAATTGCAAAGAAAATAAACATTAAAACTCATCCATGAAGGTTACTCGTTTCGAATTTGGGTTCCACTAGTTAGACAAACAATTGAGAGGAGAGTGATGATTTCGGTTTTAGGTTCAAAGCTTCAAACTTAACGGCGGGTTTGAGAAATGAGTGCGAGAGGAGAGAGGAAGCTTAATTGAGGAGAGAAAAGAGTGTGGATTTACAATTTTATCCACGTTCTTAACGGAAATGTTAACAAAGGACCATTTGTGGAAATGAATATAATTATAGGGGACTAAATTAGTAATATTTGATATGTAGGGACTAAATATGTAAAATGACTTATAACAGGGGACCTTTTATGGAATTTACTCCATTTTTTTTAAAACAAGGATTTGTAAAGGAAAGCCTACTTTTCCCAAAAACAAACTACCAGTAGCAAAAAAAAAAGAGATGGAAATCATAAATATGGCATAGCCATAATTCTGCCCATTCATGACAAATAAGCAGTAGCCAGTACAAAATTACTCCGTATAAAGATAAAATGGAGCAGAGACTATCTAAAATGTAGCCAGTACGAACTTTAAATTTCCAAAAAAAAAACAGATCTTCATATTACTAAATTAAAAGAATTTCAGATTTTCACAACAAATTCATAACAAGTAGCGAAAATTTCAAATAAAAATTTCAATTTTTCACATGACAAATTCATATAACAAATTGTTAAATACACAACGAAAATTCATAACAAATTCATACCACAAATTTATAAAGATTAAGGATTTTTCATATTTACACATAACAAAATGTAAAATTCTTAATGGTATGTTTGGGAACATGGATTTGGATTTCAAATCCGTATTTGGCTCAAATTTCATGTTTGGGAAACTTAAAAAATTTGAATTTGGATTTTAGTCAAATTCTCCTCATTCATAACAAAGCTTAATTTAAAATTCATGCACCTCCCCTTGTCATTTGAAATTTAAAATTTCAAATATTGGAATTGAAATGCAGGAATGGAAATGAAATGCTAGTTGTCAAACACTACCTAAAGTAATTCTGAAATTAGTACTCCCTCCGTCCCACAGTTTTTGTCCACTTTCATTTTTGCACACCATCCAATGCACTTCTTTAATCCATTTTATCTTGTAATTTGTATATTAAAAAATTATAGAAATTATATATTAATAATCTATATGTTAAGACAAATCAAACAAGATCACACATGACTATATTTAGGTTTACACATTGAGAGAATTTGTTGAGTCAAAGTGCTTAGATGAACAGTTCCAAAAGTCAAAAGTGGACAAAAACTGGGGGACGGAGGGAGTATTTTTTACCTCCATACCTGGACTCCGGGACCTGGAGGCTGGAGAGTTTCCAGCGAGGCGGCGTCTGGTAGACAGTGGCTAGACTCTGCAGCAGTGGAGCGTGCAGGCGGGCGACGGCGTCTCTCTCTCGGCGACTTCTTTTTCAATTTCCATTCGTGCTTGGGTTTGGGCGTTTGGCTACTTCCGCTTTCTATGTGGAACGGAAATATGAGGGCTAGGGAGTTTGCTTTGGCTGGACTGGACTTCTATATATATATATATATATATATATATATATATATATAAAAGATAAAATCCTTTGATCCTTATTGCTAGTTGCTACAGTAGTTCGGTACAGGAAATTTGGTTCGGGACAGACCCCATTCCCAAATACCATCGGTTCGGATTTTTTCGGGATTTTTTGGTTCGGTAAAATTTGGTACGGGTAATTCAGGAATTTTCGGCAACGGTATGGTACATGCTCACCCCTAATGAAAAGGCTAAGTAAGAAAAGTATGTTGTAAATTCATTCTATACTCTTGTTTAATTTTCAATATGCATGAATGCAGAGATATTCAAGAGGTTCATGAAGGAAAATTCGAAGAGAGGCACAACGAGGACCCCAAAGGACTATTGAGTTTGTACGAAGCTTCTTACCTTAGCATAGAAGATGAAGAAATAATGGACAAGGCCAAAGTTTTCAACACTCTTCACCTCAACAAGTATCTCAATGATAGTAATAATACCGGTACCGGTCCGGTTCCGGTACCGGTATAATTTTTTTTTTTTTTTTGATTTGAAATGCAAAAAAGTTAAAAAAAAAGGTGGGGGGGCACACCTCAAACGGCTATTTAGCCGTTGAGGTGGGGGAGGGGAAGAGGGGAAGGGGGGAGAGGGGGGAGGGGGGGACCAAGTTTTTTCTATAAATTCTCTCATTTTTTTCATAAAAAATCACTCAATTTCTCAATCCATCTCTCAATCCTCTCATTCTCTCATTCTCTCAATTTATCAATCTCTCAATCTTATTATCTCTATTTAACTTTTATACATTTAATATTCATATAATAATATAAAAATTTTATACATTAAAATTTTGAAATTTTCAAAATTTTAATATATAAAATTTCGAAATTTTTTCAAATTTTTCAAAATTTTAAATATTATTAATTTTTAAATATATTCTTTAATCTTTGAATAATTTAAATATATTCTTTATTTTTTGAAATTTTTGAAATTTTAATATATAAAATTTCGAAATTTTTTTAATTTTTGCAAAAGTAATATAATATTTTAATATCAAAAAAATATATATTAAAATGTCGAGGGAGTCCGGTAGATGGTCCGTGGATATGGGCGACGTCAACCGAAGATTGAGTAAAGGCAAAGCTAAAGCCACCTCCGACGGTTCGACCTCACGCGGACACGGTTCTCGAGGAAGACACTCCGTCTCTTCGTTTCCTACTGTCCCAGATCATTTAATCGGGGATGCTATGACGGATGAAGAATTCAACTAGATTTATTCTGGTAGAGGAGACGTGAATCTCCCCACTCTTGATAGTCTATTCGAGGATGTTGATGAAGCAGGACTGGATAATCTTGACGGGGACGATGAGCCTACACCGCAAAGCAACGACGTCGACATGGAGGCAGGTGAGCCCGAGACCTCTCGAGGTCCGGACAGAGGTAAGAAAAAATATAAATCAGAATTATTTGTTTATCATTTTGACAAAGACACAAAAGATGGCATAGTTTATGGAACTTGTAAACATTGCGGGACCGTCATAAAAATGGGAGTTTCCGGCGGTTATGGCGGTCCAGAAAAACACCTAAGGTCGAGGCATCCCGTGGAGTACGCCAAATACGAGGCCGAAAAAAAGGGACGACAAGAAGTGCAAACCCAAATTTCTCGGTTTGCTAACAGAGGTAAGGGCGGCCTTTTTGCTTATAGCGACGAGCAAAATAGGCAAAAAATGGCCGAAATGATTTGTGAAGAAAATTTGCCATACATGTTTTCTGAAAAACTTGGTTTTATTGATTATTGTCAACAGGCATTAAACCCTCAAGCACGAGGTTTTTCAAGAAAAACAATTAAACGAGAAATT